CATAGGACAGCAGTGTAGTTATTTGTTTCAGTTATAGTAGTGTCAGTTTGAGTCAGTTTGTTAATTCAGTTGCTATTTATTTCAGTTTTATTTACTTTATTTATTATGTAAGTACTAAGGGCAGATGTGTCATTTCCATTATGTACTAAACATAACCTATAAATATTAAGAGAGTGGCGGCGGCAGATTAGTTTCAGAATCTGTCCCTCCTTKCAACAACTTGTGTTCTCTTGTTTCTCTTCTATTCTCTCTCCTTTCTCTCAGCTTTCTTCTGTTTTGCAAACCTAAAACCTATTATGATTCAAGACTGATTACAGTCTTGATCTTCTACTACCTCCAAGATACATTCAACCAGTTGATGGCCACTTGGCCCTCAAAAGGCTTTAGTAGAAGGGCAAGCTCCTACAGGCTCTTCTACCTTTATCCATATGTTTAAGAGAAACAGGAGCACCTTTGAATGGAAAGGATCCAATATAGAGGCTGTAATGGGGTGGGTGGAAAGGGATACTATTAGATTGGGTTTGCCTTCATAAAGAACTCAAATGTTTTAAATGGCAAGACTTTAGAAATAACTGGAGTCAAATCATTTGGGTCAATAACTTTGCCTTGGGTTTTTGAAGCTATGTGTATACAAATCTATACAAACAAAGAGAGAGGTCAGTCGTTGATACATGCATGTATGTAAATGTCATGTCCCTTAATGGGGTGTATTTGCTTTTTAGGTTACCTGCTATACTTGATACAAATTACTTATTTTTCCCATAAAAAAGTGAAAGGAGTATAGATAAGATGCTAAAAGCAGACAAGGAAGGTTATATTTGCCACAGAATCTGCAAAGAGTGAATTAAAAACAAATTGAGTACAGTACGTTAGCAGATCATACCCAAGATACAGCTTTTGCCAATGGTGGCTCCCCTGTTCCAGTTGGAGTGAAATCATCTAATTCAGGCAGTGTAAGAGGCAGATCACTTTCAAGAAGTGGGACAATTTCACCAGTATCATCTAAGAAGATAACTGGGAAAGGCTCTCCCCAGTAACGTTGCCGAGCAAAAAGCCAGTCTCGCAGCTTGTAGTTTACCTAGAGGAAGAGAAGTATGTTAACATGAAGCTTTAAGTAACTCCATGCCCCACATCTCCTAAGCTGAGAAATATACCTTTCTTATCCCATGCCCAGTACTCTCAGCCCAATCTATGACTTTGGAAGCAGCTTCTTTGCTACGCAAACCATTGATATTAAGCCCAGATGCCAAATTTGATGAGTTTATAATGATACCTTCTCCTGAATATGATCCTTCAGAATCATTGTAGCATTTATCCTCTGGGTTCACAACCCAGGAAACTGGAATATCATATTTCAAAGCAAACTCATAGTCACGAGAATCATGTGCAGGTACAGCCATTATTGCCCCAGTACCATAACTGCAACATAACAAAGTTCACATGTTCTGGTCATACTTCACAATGATTTCTTAAATATTTATCTAGGATCTAACAAGAAAAGTAACATCATGTGTCATGTGGTCCAACCATATAACTTAAGAAATAGAACTTTTAGTGTATAATATGTCTGGAGCCAGTAACACATGCCAACAGTAAACCACATTTGGAAGTAAGATGAAAGAAAAATAAGAACTCTATAACCTCCCCAAAACATAATCTGCCACCCATATGGGAATTGCTTCCCCATTTGCTGGATTTCTGGCATATGAACCACTGAAGACACCAGTTTTCTCCTTCTGAAGCTCTGTCCTTTCAAGATCACTCTTTCTTGATGCTATCTCTCTGTATTCTTCCACCTGCGTTCAAATATCAGTCCTCTGATATTTATCCAAAATCAAGGCATTCTGTATTTTGGAAACCACAATGAATGAACGTACACATTCTCTTTGGGCATTAGATACCAATGATGACAACAGGTGATGTTCAGGTGCCACGACTAGATATCTGCAGGCACAGAGTGAATGCAATAAATGCACATTCAATTCCATATAAAATGGTTGTATTTTTTGTGTCTAAATGTATGGATTCTACTAATTATGGGCAATCAAAAGGAAGTTCACGATGAATACGTTGCTCCAAAGATGGTGTCTGGTCTTGTTGTATACACGGTAAGCTTTATGTCCCGTTCATGTCCATCTTGATCAAGTACAGAGAATTCCATCTCCGCCCCTTCTGACCTGCCTATCCAGTTCCGCTGCATTTCCTTTATGCTTTCAGGCCAATCAAGATCATCCAAATCTTCAAGAAGGCGATCAGCATATGCAGTAATCTTGAGAATCCATTGGCGCATTGGCTGCTTGGTGATAAAAGGATGTTACTGTAAAATTTCTATAAACTGGAAGAGAGACAAAGAGAGGGAGATCTCAAAAACTCATTTGGTATAATAGGACGAAGATTGATAGGAAAGTGCTACTAAGTGCATAATTGATCCACCTTTCTTATGACTGGATAACCACCTCGCTCACTAACACCATCCACTACCTCTTCATTTGCCAAAACAGTGCCAAGAGCTGGACACCAGTTCACTGGTACCTCAGCCTGAAAACGCAAACCATGGACCATGAGATGCTGATATTCAGTGCAAACTAAAAGGAAAACTTAACATGAAGAAGAAACAATGTGGACCTGATATGCCAATCCTTTCTTGAAAAGCTGAAGAAATATCCATTGCGTCCATTTATAATATTCTGGTTCAGTGGTAGAAATTTCACGGTCCCAATCATATGAGAAACCCAGTGACTTAAGCTGAAAAAAAGAAGATAATAAATGAATAAAACTAACTAGGAACCAAACGGTATGACATAGTAAAGTGTTCATATAAGAGAATAATTGGCCACAAACAGAAAATATGGAATCACATTATTTTTAGTTTGCTCCTGTTATACTAGCAATTACCCAGAGTTCTAGCGATTCAAAACAGTCCAGCACTTGCTCGTTTACCAGGCAAATAAAATGAAAACATACTTGCCTTAAATTACATCACGGATGAAAGGTATCAAGATAAATAGACATCATATGACCTGTGAGCGGAAGCGTTCGATATTTCTCGCTGTTGTAATCTTTGGATGGGTTCCCGTCTGTTCACAGAAAGAAAAGAATAGAAAAGAAAAGAAAAACAATAATAGGGAATGACCACAGAGATATCGCGTAAAGCCCACATTACAATTGCAAAATCAAACCTCAATTGCATACTGCTCTGCCGGCAATCCAAATGCATCCCATCCCATTGGATGCAAAACGTTAAAACCTTTCATGCGCTTGTATCTGGCAAGAATGTCAGTGGCAGTATATCCAAGAGGATGACCGACATGTAACCCAGCTCCACTGCAAAAAATACTCAAACCGTGAACATCATAGGTCTTCAGAAAATTAGCATCAAAATGGAATCGAGACACCGAGAAATAAGATATTTCGGTAAGCTCCCTAACAATGCTTATTGCTTATATGCAAAAGTTATCGCTATGAAACTTGATGAAATTCACAAATTTATCGATAATTTGTACAAGCTAGAACTCTGACCTTGGTGCATGTTCCTGTTTGATGTGATTGAAGTTCAATAATAAAATTGAGTAAATTCAGTAAGAGAAGTGCAGAAGCGATGAAACACCTGGGATAGGGGAACATATCGAGTATGTAGAACTTGGGTTTTGAGGTATCGACTTCGTCTGGGGTCCTGAAAGTACGATTCTCCTCCCAGTAGCGCTGCCAACGCGGCTCAATTTCGTGAAATGGGTAAGCCCTAGTTCTCGGTTGCTGAAGCTTCTGCTGCTCTTCTTTATTGTACTCCTCCTTGAGTGTGCTTTGGCTACTGATACTGCTGTTGCTGACACCATTCGAGACTCGAAGACGATAAGAGGTTGCAGTGGTAGTGGTAGTGATCCAAAGATACGGCCGTCTATGAAAGGAGAAGAAAGTGTTTCGATGGTGGAAAGAAGAGGGAAGAAGCATTTGCATCTGCATTTGCGTTTGCATTTTCGAAAGAGCAGTAAGGCGGAGGAGGACTGGACTGGTTTAAGCGTGGAAGAGCTTGGTGGGAGTGGACGGGAATGGAACAAGAAGATAACGCTCAACCTCAACGCGGTAAAACTAATTCTAAGGTTCTTTATACTGCGGGGCCGTTTGATAACGGCTGAATTTGTTTAACTCAAGGGATATTATATAAAAAAATTCACCACGAGTTTTTCACATTTTTCTTAAACTCTCTAAACTTTTCAAAACCTAAAACAACTCCTGATAACAATTTTTTATTATCCGAAACTCACCTTCCATTATACATCGTTATCAGCAATAAATTCCACTTTAGTATCAACTTTGGGATAGTGTCAAGTTATTATCCGAAAAAGTGTTTAATTGGTCTTTAATTGGTTTCTGTCATTAATCGATTGTCCGTTATTTATTTAAATTGTCAAACCTACCCTTCCCTTCAAAAAGAAATTATTTATTGTCTTCAGCTTTAAGACTGAACCGTTTATCTTAAAAGAAAAAGAGAAAAAAAAACATGAAATATAATAGAGAGACAATAACTGAAAGTAAAAAAATAACTAGACAAGAATATGTTTCAGGTCTAAAGGTAAAAGATAATGACTTCATTAGTTCAGAATCTCAAACGCCTCAATTGGTTTATTTTCAAGGTAGAAGACAATAAACAATGTCTTCTTTTGAAGGTAGTTTTCACATTATCAATAGATAAATGACAATCAGTTAACGACAAGGACCAACTTAACACTTTTTGAAAGTTTAGGTACTGTAGTGACACGTTTGAAAGTTTAGGTACTAGTGTAGTACGGAAACAAAACACGTTGAGAAAAGCTTCAAAGAAAAGAGTAAAACTTGAACTATCAGAAAAAATAATTCTTTACTGAATAATTAAGAGAAAATTCAATATCAAAAAACTATCTTAGCCTTCCCCTAACTACTCTTTATATCAGCATTTTCTGCAATGTCTTGTTCGTGGCTTCCGCCTGACCGTTGCCCTAGGGGTAGTATGTTGTTAACGTCCTCAGTCTTGCCCCGTACTGCCCCAAAAGGTCTCGAACCTCTTGGTTTTTGATTGGCAAACTGTTATCTGTTAGTATCCATATCGGCACCCCAAACTTGTGGACGATGTTCTGTTGCAAGAAGTTTGCTATGTTGTCATCGCAAATACACCGTAAGGGAATGGCTTTTGCCCATTTAGTGAAGTAATCCGTCGTGACAATGATGAAACAATACCCTTTGGACGGTGGGTGTATTTTTCCTATAAGATCTACCCCCCAAGTATGAAAGGGCCATGGTGTAATAATAGGGTGCAGGGTATTGGTCGGTTTGTGAATCTTGTCTCTGTGAATCTGGCACTTATAACACCAGTGCACGTGTCGCTATGTGTCCTCCATCATAGTTGGCCAGTAGAACCCGAGATGCAAGATATGGTTGTGTAAGGCGAGCTAACCCTGATGAATCGTGGGTTTGGAATTATGGGCCACCTCCAAGATATCGTCAAATTCCTCGCTAGCCAAACATCACAAAGGTCTACATGTGTGCAATCTCTTGTACAACATGTCATCTTGGAGGTAAAATCTCTTGATCTTAGACAGTAATTTTCTCCTTACATTAATGTCGATCGGAAGTATGCGCTTTTGTAGGTATTCTATGTATACCTCTCTCTAGTCTTCATCACAGACCACCAAGCATTCTTTGCTATCTATCAGTGGGATGCACTTGTTGCACTCCCGTTGTGATTTATTTGAATCATATTTCATCATAAGCCAATAGTATCCCAATCACTATAATTTTCGAAACAAGGGACCTGTAGCTACCCCACACGTGGCTTCATAGACTTTGTCGAGCGTGGCTTTCGCTTCCTTCTTCCCTAAACACCGTGTCCTCACGCCGTTTGACTCTCGATGGTATAATACCCCTTGCACCAGCTGAAAACTTCGCGATCAACCCTATGTCTTGGGTCTCCATGATCTGCCCTTTTAGTTTCTATATCACTTCATGCCTTCAATCGTTGACCATTATCTGCTCGTCATCCTCCACTTAATCTTACAGGGTGATAGTTGAATGTTCGTCGATGGCTTGGACAGTGATCTCTATAGGCTCGGGGCTAGTTTGTATCTTGGATCCTAGCATGGCCAGAGCATCAGCGAACCTATTCTTGGCTCTATTTCGATGTTTGAAGCATACGTCGAGACCATGAATCAACTTTTGTATCAAGGTCCTATACGACAGGATGGTAAGCTCTTTTACCGTTGTGCTTCCGTCGAGCTGCCCGATCACCAACTTTACATCACCAAACACCCATATCTTCTTCGCGCTAGATTCCATTGTTTTCATCAGACCGAGAACCAATGCCTCGTATTCCGCTATATTATGTGAGCACAAAAACTAGAGTTTAAATGAAAAGGCTGTCGTTTATCCGTCAGGTAAAGTTAGCATCACTCCAGCACTGGTAGAGGTGCTTGTACTGCTTCCGTCGAAGGTTAGGATCCACTCACTATCTCCTATCAGAGCGACCATGGGCAAATCTCTAGGGATTTCTTTCGATATGGGAAAATCGAAGGTAGACGGGAAAATGGCCAAGAGGTCGGCAACGGTTTGACACTTAATGGCTTTAGGCTACGTATACTCTATGTTGTATTCGTTAAGCTGCATCATCCACTTCACAAGCCTTCCAAACAAGGGAGGTTTGTCCATAAAAAACTTGATCGGATCATTTCATGCGATGAGCCTCACCTTCTACCCGAGGATATAATGCCTAAATTTCTGCGTGGCGAAGACTAGGGCTAGACATTATTTCTCCATGCGAGAATAGTTCTTCTCCACCATCTTGAGGGTTCTACTGGCGTAATAGATGGGGATTTCTAGTTTATCATCGCCTTCCTGTGCCAACAGACACCCTATCGCTTCCGGCCCCGTTGCGATGTACATCCTGAACTCTCGTCCATCCTTAGGAGGTTGCACCGAAGGTGCTTTGGCCAGTGCTCTTTTTAGCTATTTGAAAGCGTCTTCGTGTTCGTTGGCCCATTTGAATCTGACGACTTTCTGAACTAATTTCATTAGTGGCAGGGCCAAGTGAGCAAGGCCATGAATGAATCTTCTTCAGTAGGAGACTTTCCCGAGGAAGGTCTTCAGCTGGGACTGATTCACTGGCTGCGGTAAGTCTAGAATGGCTCGTGCCTTGCTTTCATCCAGATATATCTTGTTTTGGTCTACTCGGTAACCCAGGAACTTACCCAATTGCACTCCGAACGCGCATTTTAGTGGGTTTAGTCTCAGTTTGAATTCTCGGCATCTAGTGAAGATTTTCCTTAAGATTTCGGGGTGTTCCTCATTCTTCTTGGCCTTCACTACTATATCGTCTATGTAACATTCTATCTCTCGATGGAAGATACTAGTCATCTATTAGACAGTGTATGCCCTTAGCACCAATAAGAACGACGTACCTTTATGTCATTTAATGTAAATGAATAGAGTGCATATTTGATTCATTTTATTATGGTGTGTTTCTGTGTAATACCCTTAAATTGGACACATATGAGACTCGTGTTAATTTAGAATGTTCACAATCATTGGATAAGTCTGGGGAGATTTATCCTACCAAGGCTGACACTGATGTGCCGCTAAGTGTTGGGGTAGCCTGTCTCAGCTGCCAGGGTGAGACCCAAGGTACATGCAGTGTAGGTTTACTTGAAACTCTGAACTGGACCAGATTTCTAGTATTGCCCTGGACCTTGGAGATTGATGAGCACTAGGTGTCGAATTGGGCTGTCTTTGATATGCCAATCAGTGAGATCCTTAGAGGGGTCAAAACCTGGGTATGTTGGGACAGTCCGAGAATTCATCTGAGTGGGTGATCATAGTGACAGGATYAACCCCWTTGTCGGACAAAGGTAAWGATCGGGGATGCACTCYCTCTGATGGAAACCAAGACTATCGGCAGCCGATTTCAATCGTTGAAATTCGTTTTGCAAAATATATTTATATACGGATATACATATATATTTTATGGTTTCAAAATATTTGCAAAAAATTTTAATTCCCGGGATCCATGTGAGTAGAGAGTGCAGCATTGTTCCTTGCAGCCGAGGGAGAGGTCCTCGCTTGTCGGGCAGTGTTTGATCATTATGGGCTGAAAGGTTAAGTGTAAGACCATTGAGGGTAATACCTGATGGGCTAATTTTGCATCTGCCCACAGTCCCTGGGTTTTTATAAGGTGGCTTGGCCCAGAGACCACTTAGTGTAAGTGTTGGGCCCATTAAGAGCCCATGTGATGGGCTTAGGGGGTTCACTGTCCATAATAGTGTATTTGGCCAGACCTTGTAACAAAGGCTGGGCTGTGATGTGTAGATCAATGTTTGGGTTCCATGCCATACAAAGAAGCCCAACTAGGTAGCAGTTTGGAAGGCCACTGAGCACATAAGACTTATTGGGCTTAAAGCCCATTTCGAACTGGTTTAGTTAGACTAATTAAAGAGGGGTGGATCTGGGATTTGGATCAGCACATAGGATAGGGTCTTACCCTATCCACTCAGAAAGTCTAGATCCAAATAGAGATTTGGATATGGAAACCTCCTAATGAGACTAGGAGAGAGTTGATCTAATCTGTAGATAAGATAAGGATTTATCCTTATCACTTGAAGAGAGTCTATATTCAAATAAGGATTTGAATCAGGAAATTCCTAATGGGATTAGGAGCTGATCTCTTTAAGTCTATAAAAGGAGGAGGGAACGAACCATTCAGTTCATCCAAAATCCTAGAGATCAGATCTCAGATCACACAGAGAGAAGACAACAACAGTGTGACTGTGCCATCTTCTCCCTATGTTCTCCTCCAGTTGCCACCTATTGCCAGTTTGATCCCCAGTTTTGTAGGAGCGATCAAGAATAGTTCTTGATATCAGTCTTTGGAGAAAGGCTGATCTGAAGTCGTGCTCACAGTCACATGTGGGAATCACATTCCCTGTTTTAGAAAAAACTGCATTTTTAAGGATCAATCTTGAACCAAGAACCGAACCAGATCTGAACCAAAATAGTAGGAAAGGGATATACCTGATATGAAGATGCAATACTCCCAACGAAGGTGTTCACGCCCAAAGAAAGACTCCAAAGATTGC